TAGGATTAGTTTGTAGGATTAGTTTGTAGGATTAGTTTGTAGGTTTGATGTTGGTTATCTAGAATGTGAAAAAGTTGTTACTAAGGCAAGCGCAAGGAAGAGGTGCAAACAAGTATTTTCTTCTTCTTTTTTCTCAAAATAAAACTCTCGGCAGACAAATGTATTTTAAATATATAGATTAAAATATGATTTTGTAATGTGCAGCCTGTTACCAAATGATACATGAACCAGTACCAGTCCTTAGCTCGAGGATTGGGGACCCCTGCTCCAAAACGTACAGTGCACGGTTATATTGTGAGAACGAATTTACCTAAAATTTCTAACATGTCTGTAACAAGGGCATGGAAAGCGGGGAAGAACTCATCATGCTGCCTCACTTTGATGATGATGCTGGAAAACAAGAGTGGAAATAAAAAGAAAGCTTCATTGAGAGCATAAATGTTCGACATTTCAAACAATACAATTCTGCGTCTGTAACACTGAACCTGTTAATGTCAGCGTCTCCCAGTAAATGATGGAATCCTCCTCTATCATCTTTTGAGGAGACCAGTCTGGCCACCTGGTTTACAACCTCAACAGAAGAAACTCTGCTGTCTGACACAAAACAACAAAGAGGTTAGGTCATTATAATAAAACCATAACCAGAAAATTTATTAAATTAATGTGCTTCTTACTGGTCTGCAACTGGTGGCAACAAATTATGACCTACGCTTGAATAGGAGTCCCAAACTGTTTGCAGTGCTTTTATTTTTCTTGCATAAGCTTCAGAAGTTTGCAGTTTACTGGTAGTTGTTTAAATATGAAGAACATTTAAATAAAAAAAAACATTTGACAAAAAAAAAAAAAACTTGTAGAGTTGACTTGTATTGCAATTTCCATAATTTAACAGAGCTTTTATTTTTAATTTGCACTTTATTTCATGACAACTCTTTGACCTATGAGCTTGTGTTACATGTTTTAATGTGTTTTATTGTGTTTTCTCGTGTGCTCTAATGTCTCAGTTTTTATTTGTGTTAAGTTTGCTCATGTTAAGTTTAATGTATCTTTGCACTTTCTATTTTACTGACTTTATACTACTTTTCTTAATTTCTTATAGATTTTCTTAAGCTTGTGTGTTGTGATTTGGCGCAATATAAATAAACTGAATTGAATTAAGCAAATAGATTAAAAAGAATGCAGCTACCTCTGCGTTTAAAAAAGCAAATATAAATAAATATGGGCTAAGTAGCAGAACAAAAACTACAATTAACAAAACAGGAGCTGAAACCTTCAAAACTGTAGCCAAAACACAAAATCAGCTACACAATAGCGAAAAAGTAAAACTAGTAAATCATTAGCTTAAAGCTAAAACTGGTAAAACGGAACCTAAATGCTAAAGCCAGCAAAACAGTAGCTTAAAGCTAAAACTAGCAAATCAGTAGCTTAAAGCTAAAACTAGTAAAACAGTAGCTAAACACTAAAGCCATCAAAAAGTAGCTAAATGCTAAAACTAGCAAATCACTAGCTTAAAGTTAACTAGTACAACAGTACCTAAATGTTAAAGCCAGCACACAGGAACTAAATGCTAAAACTAGCAAAACAGTAGCTAAATGCTAAAACTAGTAAATCACTAGCTTAAAGCTAAAACTAGTAAAACAGTACTTAAATGCAAAAGCCAGCAAAACAGTAGCTAAATGCCAAAACTAGTAAATGAGTAGCTAAATGCTAAAACTAGCGAATCACTAGCTTCAAGCTAAAACTGATATAACAGTATTGAAACGCTAAAACCAGCAAAACAGTAGCAAAAAGCTAAAACTAGCAAATCAGTAGCTAAATGCTAAAACTAGTGAATCAC